ATAACTTTCATTTGTCAGAGTAACCAACTATTAGGTAAACTAATTCATGAAAACTGAAATAAAGGGGATGCTATTATCTCCACTTTTTTTTTTTTTAAAGATTTTATTTATTTATTTGCGAGAGAGAGAATGAAAGAGAACACATGAGAGGGGGGAGGGTCAGAGGGAGAAGCAGACTCCCTGCCGAGCAGGGAGCCTGATGTGGGACTCGATCCAGGGACTCCAGGATCGTGACCTGAGCCGAAGGCAGTCTCTTAACCAACTGAGTCACCCAGGAGCCCCTATTATCTCCACTTTTGACAGCCTGACCTCTCCAAGTGTGGTTTGGGATCAGCAGCATTGGCACCCTTGGGAGTCTGTTAGAAACATGGATTATTGGGCCTCCTTGGGACCTGCTACATCAGAACTTGCATTGCAATAAGATTCCCACAGAAATTTGCTGTATGTCCAGCCGGAAATGTTCTCTATCTGTGCTAATATGGTAGTCACTAGTCACTTGTGGCTACTGAGCATTTGAAATGTAGCTAGTGCAACTGAGTAACTGAGTATTTAATTTTAATTCATTTTAATTTAAAAAGACATATAGTGAATGGCTACCACATTGAACAGTATAGCTCTCTAGCGAATCAGTGTGTACCTGTAAGCAAAGGGTCAAGAAGTGACCACTACAGCCAAATCTGCTAATCCAGCAACACACAGCACAACTCACCTGTCGTTCCAACATGCAGAACGACTTGAAGAAAGACCAGTCCTCTTCAGCTGCTCTTCCAGAACATCAGGTATGGAGCATGGATCTCCACATGATACTGTGACCATTCTGCTTCCTTTCTCAATCAGGTTTCCAAAATTTACCCCTCAGCTCTAGAGTTTCCATACTGATTTCTTTGAAATCTTACTACTGGACCAAAAAAATGAGTCCACCAGCCTTTGATGAGAGAGCTTCCAGGCTGTGGGGCACCTGAGGCCTGAGGATCCTCAAGGGTACAGTACATGAACACACTGTTGGCAGTGGGAGTGGGGGAGGGCCCAGAGCTTGCAACAGATTTTTATGACCCAAACACTGGTTAAGAACCCTGGGAGGAAGGAAGAATTCTGGCGCCTGACAGTCTTCATAGAGGGCCCTCAACCCTGTCTAATAACCCTCATAAACCCCTCATAAAGGTAGTCAAAGAAGCAAATGAAATAAACTATGTAGAAACTGTAAAATGTTGTAAAATTTATTATTATAAAAAAACAAAGCTATACATGATAGAGCAAAATATTCAGACAATCCTTGGCAAATGAGATAAAATTTTCTGCCTTATTCGTCTCACACAAGAAATGGGAAAAGTTTTCAATTAGCAATAATCGCACCTTGGATAAACCTCATTGGCTACGATCCTGCCACTGCGCAAAGCTCTCACACAAGAAATGAATAAGCACATCATCAGTGAACGGTTCCAAATCAGAAAACACAGAATGTACCTTCTCCGGGAAGAGCTTAGGGTATAGCTGAAGTTCAGAAGATCATTCAAAAAGACTGGTTATCTCTCACATAGGAAGTGTCCAGCTGACTTGGGCTGAATCTAAACTAGGCGGTGTATTCCAAAGACCCTTACAGTCCACTATCAGTGCAGTCCAACGGAAAAACAATATACAGTTCACTATTCCAAGACAATTCAGCTATAATAACAAAATGAATAAAGCACAAGCACTTGGAGCTGCCTTCCAAATAAGGCAGAAAGGTGTAAGTAAGAATTCTGGTTTAAGGAGAGTAGGTGTGCTTTCCCTCTTTAAACACACTTACAGGGGCGCCTGGGTGGCTCAGTTGGTTGAGCGACTGCCTTCAGCTCAGGTCATGATCCTGGAGTCCCGGGATCGAGTCCCGCATCGGGCTCCCTGCTTGGCAGGGAGTCTGCTTCTCCCTCGGACCCTCCCCACTCTCATGTGCTCTCTCTCATTCTCTGTCTCAAATAAATAAATAAAATCTTAAAAAAATAAATAAATAAAATAAAATAAATAAATAAACACACTTACAGTGACAAAATAGTTTGAAAGGTCCTCGCATGCAAGATGAAAAACTCTTTCTTGCTAGACAGTTGAGCTAAACTGACTCCAGGGGCTACGAGGGGTTCAGCAGGCACACTGAGAGAGAGGGCAGGGTCAGAAAGACTTGCAAAAGCCTCACCCAGTTGGTTGATCAGGACAGACACAATCTGCTTCCCCTCCCAGGTTGATAACCTACCAGGCTGCAGAGTTTACTATGAGGAAAAGACCCACCCAAGCTATTTGCTCCAGAGTAAAGTGATCCCTGTGAGGACTGAAGACTGCTGTCTGGACTTGGGTGACTTCTAGGGCCTTGAGTTCAGACTGTTGTCTGGACTTGGGTGACTTTTAGGGCTATATCCAAAGAAGTGGGGCAGATCTGAAGCTCCTAAGTCTCAAAATAAAAGACCCAGGGGCCTTTCTACCTCAGAAAGAAACCAGGAAACAACTAACAACCATGTTGTCATGCATATATAATGTCCCACTACTCAATTTCCTAGCCTTAAAAGAAAAAAAAAAAAAAGCTATCTTCAAGAATAGCAAGAAAGACATGACTGACTGTACACCATTCTAAAGCCCATCTAGGGGAGGTCTGGATTGCTCTAAGAAAACAAGTGTAGCCTTGGGGCTGTAATGGGGTGACAAATGCTTGAGAAAGGCCACACCTGAGCAGAGCTCACTCCTTAAGCAGCTCCCTATCTAGAACAGAAGGAACTCAGAGAACTCCACAAACACTCAAAGCACTGCCTCTTGTGGTTCCTGTGTGTGAAGAGCCCACTTTCCCCTCCTTGGCCCCTCCTAAACCTTCCAGAATCTTTAGTGCCACAAACTTTACTATATGCTAGGTGCTACGCATTGTGCACAGCCCTGGGAATACAAAGGAAAATAGGACAAAGCCCCTGCTCTCAGACGAGTCTAGCAGACAGGGCATCACACAAGGGCACCCTCTCCTGGCCCATCTCTTTTTTTCTGCTGGTGCCAGGAATCACCTCTACTCAGCACACAGCTGTTATGACAGCTATTTATAAATTAGTCTCCCACACATTCCCACTTCTCAATGAGCTCTGAGAGGGCAGAGAACATCTTAGCCATCTTGGTTTCTCTAGCACCTAGCACAGTGCTCCAACAAGTAGAATGAACATAGTAAGGGAGGAAGGGGATAACACTCAACTTTTCAGATAGAGGCTATGAAACTGCAGAGAGTGGATAGTCCACTAGAAGCAAAGGAAAGTTTGAAGAACAAATGCATGCTGAATCCACCTTTTCTTTGTCTCCTCCTTCCTGTGACTGCTGCTCACTTGGCTTTGGCATAACCCCGCCTCCCTAAAGGGCTCTAGTGACTGCACAAGTCCACACAACCACACCCTGGTCCCATCCCCAGGGGTCATCCTTCACCCCCAAACAGGCCTCATTCAACAAGGCCTCATCCTCCAAAAGGACTTCGGTCCTTTGCTATTTTCTAATAATTTAAGCAGACCCCAAACACAATAGATTGCCTTGTGAAGCAGATTCTACCATTCCTGGCTGGATGACAAGTGGTGGGTAGAGGTAGGTAAGACAGGTCGTCTTTTTTTTTTTTTTTTAAGATTAAAAAAAATTATTTATTTGACAGAGAGAGAGCACAAGCCGGGGGAACAGCAGGCAGAGAAAGAGGAAGAAGCAGGCTTCCCGCTGAGCAAGGAGCCCGATGCGGGGCTCCATCCCAGGACCCTGGGATCACGACCTGAAGCGAAGGCAGTCACTTAACCGACTGAGCCACCCAGGTGCCCCAGGACAGGTTATCTTAAAACTGCTTTGATTCTTCTCACTGCAATTGAAATAAAATCCAAACTCCTTCCTGAAACTCCTTCCTGAGACTTGTGGGCCCCGTGTGGTCTGGTTCCAACCTCTCTCCAAATTGAACTCAGGACTTTAAGTCTCTGGCTCTGCTTTCTTCCAGCTCTTTCCCACCTCGGGGCCTCGGAAAGTGCTGTGTTCTCTACATCTGACTTCCCCCAGCATGCTATTCCTTTTCTTCGAGGTTTTCTCACAATGTATACTTAGTTTTTGCTACTTACTTTCTCTCCCTCTAACTATGAGCTTGAGAGCAGGGACTATGTCAGCACCCAGCTGGGTGTCCCCCACACAGTGTCTAATAAATATTTGCTCAGTTAACAAAAAGGCAGCTCTCCATCCTTCCACCCAGCTCCCCCACTAACTTCTCCTGATGGTTCACACACCAAATCACCCCCATCTCCTTATTCCTGAGTCCCACTGCCCACAACTCACTCTCCATTATCTGCCCTCAAAACTTCCCACCTCAGGGGCGCCTGGGTGGCTCAGTCGTTAAGCGTCTGCCTTCGGCTCAGGTCATGATCCCAGGGTCCTGGGATCAAGCCCCACATCGGGCTCCCTGCTCCGCGGGAAGCCTGCTTCTCCCTCCCCCACTCCCCCTGCTTGTGTTCCGCCTCTCGCTGTGTCTCTCTCTGTCAAATAAATAAATAAAATCTTTAAAAAAACAAAAACAAAAAACACTTCCCACCTCAGAAGTCCCACTAATGCATCCATTTAGCTGTCCATCCCTCACAAATCCCATCTCTCAGCCCTTACAGCCCCCTGCTCTCCTCTTACCCCTTACATTCCATAAACCCCGAAACCGCCTTTCACCATACACCTCCCCATCCACACACTCCCCTTAAACCCATTTCTCTCGCCCCAGGATGGGCCCCTAAAACCCATCACCCGCTGCTTGCCCCATAAGCCTTTCAATCCGTCGCATTTGACCTCATAAATCTCCTCGGCCTCAGAAACCCCTTTCAGTCCTCCCCGAGCCCCCACATCTCCCCTCCCCGCTCCCCGCCCACAGACGCACCCCCCCCCACCCTGCACCCTCCTCACCCCTCGGGCCCCCTGCCAACTTGGCCCTGGCCCCTGGGCCCGCCCCCGTCTCTGCCGCGACTTGGGGTGGCCCCGCCCCCATCGAGCCCGCGCAGCACCTGGCCTGCGCCTCTTCCAGGCTCTGGTCGGTGATGGCCATGATCTGCTGCAGGACCTCGCCTGTGTCGGGGCCCGGAGGAGGCCCGGGCGGCGGGCGGCGCGGGGCCGGGGGAGGCGGCGCGGGGCGCCGCGGGGAGTCCATGGGCGGTGGGGCCGGGAAAGCGCTGAGGGGGATCCGCCGGGCCTGGAGCGCTCACAAGGGCGCCGCAGCCAACCCCCGCCACTCGCGCGCTGCGCGCGCGCGCCCCAACCCCCACCCCTCGCCACCGCTTCCAGCCAATCGCCGCCAGCCGGGAGGCCGCGCACCGCCCATGGACACGCCCCGCTGTCTCCGCCAGCCAACTGCCGCCGCCCGGGCCGCCGCGCACCGCCCACAGACACACCCCTAACAGACCCTTTCAACGACCCAGGACTCGGTTGGGAGTTGCCGAGGCAACAGCTCTTCGCACCCACACCCTCCTCCTTCCACCCCCATATTCCTCCTCCCTCACCTGCTCAGAGCAATGGTTCCTGCTTAGAGACCTTAATCCTTCTTAGGGCCCCTCACATCTCCTCACAGCCCCCACACCTCCTCAGAGAGGTCCCGCATTTCCTCAGAGACGCTCAAGTCTCCTCAGCGAACCCCCCATCTCCTCAGCGCCCTCTACTCCCCACCAGAGCTCCCACTCCTCCTGAGCCCCCATTCCTCCTTAGAGCCTTCCATTCTTCCTCAGTGTCCCCATACCTCAAATCCCCCCACCTCCCCTGGAACCCACACATCTCTTCCGAATCCCCACTTCTCAGAGTACCCCACTCTTCCTCCAAGCCACCCCTTCCTTCTCAGAGATCCGATTCTCAGATCCCCACCAACACCCACCATTCATCTCCAGAAGCCTTGAGTCCCAGACCCCTCCTCAGTCCCCCAGTGGTCCCCTCAGTCTCAGCCCCATCAGATGGGTCACTCGGGCTCCCAGCCTCCCGGCCCTTCCCCTTGGAGCTTTCCACGAGGTGTGCAGGTGTGTGCGGTGATGGTGGCTGAGTGATTTTCTCAGCTGCACAAATCAATTCTCCTTTCAAGGTCCGGCGTATAAATGACCTCGGTTTTATTCATTCTCTCCATTTACCGCAATCTGGACCTAGAATACCCAAGCACGCGGTCACTGAACTACTGAAGGATGCTTCCTGAGGGTCTCCTCTGAGGTGTACCCCAAGTAAGAGTGAATCTCCACAGGTCTTTATTTCTAGCCATTAGAACTCACGGCGTCAGAGAAGGATCGTCCTGTGAGAGAAAAGGAACGGACTGGACGTGAATCACTTCTCCAAAGTCATTGGGACCTGCTGGAGCTTGTTTGCTTTGAGGGCAGATTCCAGATGCAGGCTCACAAAGAGTCCTCAGCCTCTCTGGGAACCCTTCAGGGCAGGGCCCATCTTCTTCCCTTTGCTGCTGGAGAGGAAACTCAAAACATCTGGGGTGATTGGATTGGAGGACTCCAAAAAAAAAGACAGCAGCGAATGGAAATGAGTGATGTGGGCCAGTGTTAGGAACCACTTCGAAAGCTCCCTGATTAAGGAAACCCAACACTGGGCCCCAGTAAGAGGAAGTACTAGAACGTGTGGGGCCCATGGAGAGCTGTTGCCCTGCGCAAAACTTCAGCCCTGCACAGGAAGCCTAAAAGTTGTGGGTAATTTTGGTGTTCTTCAGAGAACAGTGGTGGGGGCATGGGGCTGAAAGCTTTAGGGGCCAAAGCTTGAAGGGCGGAGAGACCTACAAGGGAGGGAAAAACCAATGGGACAAGATGCCAAAGGAGACCAGAGGAGTGTGGGTTAGAACCTGGGGAAGCTGATGTAAGAGCAAGTGAAACACAGAGCTGCTTTTGGGAGGACTTCGGGTCCCCACCCCATAGGAACTGGCTTTGGCACCCAAAGTGTTTGTCTGTCCAGTAGGCCTGGAGCTCCACAGAGGTAAGGACTGCATCTTTCATGGTCCTATGCCCAGGCCCATGGTGTACAGGGCTCGCTTGGGTCACCATCTCTGGAGATTCTGGCCTCAGGCCCTGTAAGTCCTGCTGTCCATCTTGGATCCTGAAGTACCCAGCAACCCAGTTCATTCTTGCCTCCACACAGAGCTGTCTTAGGGCAGGGGAAGTTTTCTCCAAGGGAAACCTAGCCCCATTTAATGTAGAAGGACTTCGATGTTTTTGATTCTTCCACGATGTGTACTTTAGTGGCTTAAGAATTTGGCCTCTAATGGGAGGCCTGAGTCCACATTCTAGCTGTTATTTAGCATGTGAACCTTGAGTAGAGCTATAACCCTGTCTCCTCCCTGGTGAAGTGGAAGCAGAGAATCCAGATTCTGGTCTACACTGTACCTGGCAGGGTGCCTCCATGAGCATCTGAGAGGGGGCTCATCATGGCATGTCTGAAGACTTGGGGGGCTGTGAGGTGAGGTGAGGAAAACCAGGCTGAGGTCGTGACCAACTTGGGACATTGTGGGGATCCAAAACTCTTTCTCCAGGGGCCTCTCTTTAGTCCCTTGATTCATCTCTGTGACCCTTGGAAGCTGTGTAACCACAGGCCAGATTGCAACCTCTCTGAGCCACAAAGTGTGCATCCGCACCACAAGGTGAAAGTAATGATTAAATAATGCACCTACAGTGCTTATCAGCATGCCAGGCACATCCGAGGAGCTTGAGAAATGGAAGCTCTCAAATCCTGCATCCTGCTTCACGGGCTCCACTCCCCCCGGCCTGTAGGTATGGATGGATGTAGGTGGTGGGGTGCGCAATGGGATGGACACGCCTGACTGTTAATAACCCGGACCCAGACGAAAGGGCAGGCAGGAGAAAGAGGGCTCATGCAGGTCAGAGACCACTGTGGGCTCCAGAGGACAGAGACAGACGGGGGCGGGGAGTTAGAGGCAGGGGAACACACAGAACGGATGCAAGACCTCCAACAGGAGAGATGGAGAGGGGCGCCTGGCTGGCTGTCAGGAGAGCCTGCCACTCTTGATCTCGGGGTTATGAGGTCGAGCCCCATGTTGTGTATAGGATTTAAAGAGAGAGAGAGAGATGGAATAATAGCTGTGCAGAGCTCAAGAGGAAAGAGAACAGGGCTGAGGAGATCCCAGCCTAGCCCGAGCTGAGGCGGACAATTCTGGAACACAGGGACAGACGGACTATCTGAGCTGATGACAGAAAATGCTCTGGAGACCTCAGTGGAAAGAAAGGTTTACTCCTTATATCATGCTCTCCCCACAAACCCTCCTCAATTCTAATTGGGACAGGCAAGACCCCAGAGGCTGCAAGGGGCCAAAAACCTTTTCCCAGCTCATGCGCAGCACCCCTCAGTCTGTGCCCCTAAAGAATCAGCTTCGGGCAGATGGTGCATCCATGGGCCATCCTTGTCACCCTGTCGCACTGGGCAGAGTGGCCTGAGAGAGCCCTCATCTCCCCCATCTTTAACACCCACACCACCACAGACAAAGAAGTGGTCCACAGGGTATACCAGGGATGTGCAGTTAAAAAGTGTCAGTTAAAAAACTCCACAACCTGAGATGATTGAAGAGCAGATTCCTGAACCCCCTCGGACTCTCTCCTGGGCATTTAGAGATGACCCCACACCCCCGGGCCCCGGAGGCAGGCAGAGCTGTGGGCCTGGGGAAGGCTGGCAGGGGCGTCATGCCACGGCGGACTGAGGGTCTGTCCTGCAGCTTAGGTAGAGCCCGGTGCATCTGCTAAAGGGTGGAGTCCATCAGGGGGTGGCCATTCTCTGGAAGCATGATGCGAGTGCTGGGACCTGTTCGGGTGGAGGGTGCGTAGCGGGCAGACTCGTGGGTGGACCGGCGAAGGCACAGACCGCAGAGGAGGCGGCGGAAGGTGCGGCGCATCTCAGCATCTCGGCATGAGTACACCACGGCATTGACCAGTGAGTTGGCCTCAGCCAAGAGTAGGAAATACTTCTCCACGGCCAGAACGTTGCAGGACTTGCAGCCCAGACCGTCCAGGAGCAGCACCACCTGGCCTGGCGTCCAGCAGACCACGAACGCCCCTGCAGGATGGAGCCTGAGGTGAGCGGGGCCAGCTCTGGGGGCCCAGCACCCCAGCTCAGAGCTCAGGGCTCGGGGGGGGGGGGTCCTCCAGAGCTCAGACAACAGCTGTGTAGTTTGCAGGGCCACAGCGGCCTGACACCTTTCTCTGATGTGTCCGCCAGAAAGGGATGCCTTTCCTGACTGGTACATGGTAGACAGGGCGCTGGACATTTCTACATGGAGATTTGTTCTGTGGGGGAAAGGAGGTCACTGTGGGACAGGCCAGTTACCAGGTGGGGGAAAGAGGGGTCATGGGGAAGAGTCACTCCTTGTTCTTGGGGTAGGGGCGTGTATCCTCACGGGATGCACGTGTCGCCTCCCCCACTCAGACCACTCTACAGCCAGACTGACCTCATCGCTCCCTGCTAAGAACTCGGGAGGGCTTCCCACGGAACTCAGAACACAATCTGACTCTTGCCTGTGCCCTTCGAGGCGGTGCTGACCACCTCTCCTGCTTCTCTCCAGCCACTCGGGCCTCCTCCTCCTCCTCCTCTTATTTGGAGGCATTTGGCCCGGTCCTGTGGGGCTCTCACCTTCTGTTCCCTCGGCCTGGAACTCTTCCCTTCCCCAGCATTCAGGTCTCTGCTCAGATGTCACCTCCTTGGAGAACATTCCCCACCCAAATGGTCCCCTCCCATGTCTCGTGGGAGTTGGGGGGGCAGCAGGGTTCCTGCAACCCTGGGCCAGCTGAGGGCACTCACTCACCCAGGATAATGACAACGGTCTTGACCAGGCTGAGTGTGGTCTCTCGGTAGCGGGGGTGGCAGCTGACGTGCTCCGCCATGCGCTGCACCCTCCGCCTCACATAGAAGAAAATGCGGGTGTAGACAGCCACCATGAGCAGGAAGACAAGCAGGCTGGACAGGGCCCAGACGGCCAGGTAGGAGCGGCTGAGCAGGGGGGCCATGCGTGAGCAGCGGTCCAGGGCACAGAGGCAGTGCCACGAGTGGGCGGGCAGCAGCCCCAGGCCCAGCGCGGCCACCCACACCCCCACGATGAGCAGGACGACACGGCCGCGGGGCAGGCGACTGTGCAGCTGCACGGCCATCACGCTGCGGTGCCGCTCCACGGCGATGGCTAGCAGGGTGGCCACCGAGGCGGTCAGGCTCGTGTCCAGCAGGCCTTGCCGCACGAACCAGCCCTCCAGCGAGAGCCGGGCGGTGCGAGGGCCCGTGTGGAACATGAGGAAGAGGTAGGCCACGCCAGCAAAGAGGTCGGCTGCGGCCAGGTTGCCGAGCAGGTAGTAAATGGGCTGGTGGAAGCGGCGGTTGGAGGCGATGGCTGCGATGACCAGCAAGTTGGTCAGCAGCACCAGCACGCTGACAGTCAGCCCCAGGGCCACCACAACCACATCCTTGGGCCGCCAGTGGGAGCTGAGCTCCTTGCCACTGTTGTTGTAGAAGAAGCCGATGGTCTCATTGTAGTAACACTGGCCCATGGTGACCATCTGGAGGCACAGAGGGAGAGGTCAGTGCAGGTGGCATTTGTTGGAAGGACCCAGGAGGAAGCAGCAGCCGGAGGGGAGGGTCAGGACAGGAAGGGCAAGGGTCGCGAACTCAGATGCCTCAGGGTAAAGTGGCGGTGGTGGGTGATGTGGGAAACAAAGGCAGAAGAAAAATTATTAAATTTCCTTACTACCTACAGCCCATTGACAAGTCCTTGAAACAGGCAGAGTGACATTCCTCTGGGGACCCAACTGTCTCGATGTTAATACTTTGCTAAGGGTAAAAGACAATCCTAGCCCGACACCCCCCCGCCCCCCGACCCCAGGATCCTGTAAGTCTACTTTAACATATAAACATTCCTTTGGAAATGTCCTTTATTTCTGTCCTCCAAGATACGTGTTGGCAATCATCCCCCAAGCATATGGCCCACCGACATACATCGGAAGGGTCTCATGACTAAGGTTTTATCAGATGGTAATAAATGACCTTTCCCCAACAAGAGCAAGCCCGTTCAAGGTCCTGGAAACCTTGCTTCCAGAATTCCTTAGAGACTTAGGGATCCCTAACCCCTTCCCACCTTGAAAGTATACAATGGGTCACCCCTCATGACCACCTTTTTGCACCAAAGATGTCTCAAGAATTCTTTTCTTGGCCGTCGGCTTTGAACCCTAACATTCTTTCCTACATCATATGGTACCCAATGTAGGGCTTTGAGTCCAGAGTCACACTGGACTCTGAGCCTCGGTGCAAACTTGCTGAGTACTTTTCTCTCCTCTTCCTTTACTTTCATTCCAGGGGCCCTTCAAGGAGTACGGTCTTACTGGAACACTTGCATGTCGATTGCTCAGGCTGCAATCCTCTAGCCCGTGGCTACTCTACCGGGAGGAGAAAATCTGCCTTTTGGCTGGAAGTTAGTACCTGGCCGGAATGGTAATAAGACCCAGAAACTTGATGCCCTCTCTTTATTCCTGTCCTTATACAAAGTTGTCTGTCTTGGGCATGGGACAGCCACCTAAGTCACCAGGACGGCTGCCAATCTTGAGAGTCCCGTGTCAGGAGGCACCTGGGTGGCTCAGTTGGTTAAGCGACTGCCTTCGGCTCAGGTCATGATCCTGGAGTCCTGGGATCGAGTCCCTCATTGGGCTCCCGGCTTGGCAGGAAGTCTCCTTCTCCCTTTGACACTCCCCCCTTTCATGCTCTCTCTATTTCATTCTCTCAAATAAATAAATAAAATCTTAAAAAAAAAAAAAGATTCCCACATGAGGTTTACTCCTGATTGATCTAATATGATCCCTTTCACATCCCTGGTCTAGCCATTTCTGGCCATGGGACCTCCACTGGGAGCCGGCCAAAACCAGTACCCGATTGAATGAAAACCCAACCGGGACTGTTTCCTAGGGAAGTTGGCTATAAGGACTATATGTGTTGGAATGTTGCTTAGATCATGATGGACTTCTTTGTTTACCGTGTTCCGTCAATGTCCTCTAATAACTACTTAAGCTACAAAATTTGGTAATTTCCCCTTATAAAACTTTTCTAGTGTTCTCCATGGGATAAAAATGGCGGGTTCTTAAAGGCAAGGTAAAATAAGGTGTGACCTTGACAGTATGACCTTCAAGGCACGGTATTTCGGTTCATATGCCAGGCACCCATCTGTAGCCTAGGATGCAATGGGGAAGCAGGGGAACACTAGCATCCCTCCTACAGGGGCCTTTAACGGTGGTGGTGGTCATTTTGTTTGGGGGACTTTGACACCAGGAACCTCTCACATATCCTGTGCGTGGGATGATACCTGGGAGTCGGGGTGGGGGGGCGGGGAATTTTCTAGGTAATGGACCTTCTCTTCAGTTCCCAAGGATTCTCCTTTGGAGTGCCTTTTAACCCACTGGAAACAATTCAGATCGCAAAACTTAGGAAAGGACCGGGCTCCTGTAACCCTGCATGGCCTCAGTGGGATCTATCAGATCTTTTCTTTAGAAAATAGGGTAAATGGACCTAGGGTACCTTCACTGTTCATACCTAGGCCTTCATTGCTCTACACCGGGACCCCGACCTAAGGGCCTCTTGCAGACTGTGTTTGCCCGAACGTGTTGACTAGTAAACTCCCCCTGACATATTGGATGATAATTATCTAAATAGGCCTCCTCCAAATAAACCCAGGTTGCTGGAGAAAACGCAGGCCATCCCTAGCAAAGGGGACTCTGATTCTCTCTCTCACTGTTCCTCCTCCTAATAGATGTGGGGGCTTCTCCCTCACTCATTTTCCGGGTTAATGGCTATAACTAGAGCCAGCTGTGCTTAGTCTACCTTGGGACAGGGTACTTTAAGGAATATTCCCAAGTAGCTGCCAAAACTCCCTTTGTTTCAGGGAAATTCCCTATCTTCTCTGGCCTGACAAGGACTGCCTGTTCCCCCTTGTTGGCGGGAAAACATGGTGTTCGCTCCTCTGTCGGAGCTGACGACCTCTAGAACTGGGAACCCTTTCTGGGTCTTCTAGCAGCACTTTGCCTCTTCTGCCTTCCCCTCCCCCTCCTCCTGTTTTCACACCACCTTGGGCGTGGCCTACATAACTGGCTTCTATACCAGGCTCGGTGCCTCCAGCACCATTGGGCTTCTCCTCCTACCCTCACTATCAAGGAGCATGGACCTAACACCACCCACTCCTGATTTCTCCACCAGTATCTCAGGTAAAATTTGACAATGGGGAGGATCCAGGTGGAACATAACTCAGTATTTAAACTAAGTTAAGTTTGTTGGTTTAATTAAGATAGACGGGTCTTTTCAAGTTATCAGCACTAAATGTGAAACTTTTATTCTATCTAGGCTTACTGAAGGTCAAATAAGTTCGTGTTATCTCTTAGCGAAAAAATGACAAAAATGATGGTTGTCATTCTCATCAAAGTTTTCATAGGTAATTGTTAAGATAGCTTTCAAAGTCTTTGATAACCTGAAACTTTAAAGTTTTGCTTGGATGATAAATGGGATTAAATTCGTTGGACATCTAGGTCTTTTCCAAATAGGATAAAGTGCTAAATCATTGATAACTGACATAGGTTTATGCTTTTGACTTCTTATTCCAAAGAAACAAGGAATATTTGGGTCTGCTGGTAAACATGCTTTGTGCTTGTGAAACAGCTCACAATTGGTTACTACTTAGTTTTCACTGGAGACTAAGGTTTCTTTTTTCTTTCTTTTTTTTTTTTTTTTTTAAGATTTTATTCATTTATTTGAGAGGGAAAGAGATAGTGAGAGAAAGCACAAGTGGGGAAGAGAGGGAGAAGCAGGTGATCCCAGGACTCTGGGATCATGACCTGAGCCGAAGGCAGTCGCTTAACGGACTGAGCCACCCAGGTGCCCCGAGACTAAGGTTTCTAAGAGTGAAAAATTCTACTAACTGTAATTAAGACTGATGGAAATAAGAAAAGCAACTCTGCATATGAAAGAAAGATCTAAGGATTGGAAATACATTTTTGTTGAAGGTAAAAGAAGGTAATTTTGTCCTAAATGAAACTGGTTGTTTAGAAAGAAATGGCTTGGGACAAAATCTGAATGCAAAGGAAAGTTGTAGGTTTGTGATGGGAAATCTTTGGAAAAATTTTAGGTGTGGTCAGGATGGACTAAGATTGAAGTGAATGGATTTTTTTTTTTTTTAAGATTTTATTTATTTGACAGAGAGAGACACAGCAAGAGAGGGAACACAAGCGGGGGCGGGGGGTGGGAGAGGGAGAAGCAGGCTTCCCGCAGAGCAGGGAGCCCGACGTGGGACTCGATCCTAGGACCCTGTGATCATGACCTGAGTCAAAGGCAGACACCCAACGACTGAGCCACCCAGGCGCCCCAGGATTTTTTTTTTTAAGATTTTATTCATTCATTTGACAGAGAGAGAGCACAAGTAGGCAGAGTGCAGGCAGAGGGAGAGGCAGAAGCAGGCTCCCCGCTGAGCAGAGAGCCCAATGCAGGGATGCAGGGCTCAATTCCAGGACAGATGCTTAACACACTGAGCCTCTCAGGCGCCCGACCATCCCTAATCCTATTTAGGCATGTGCTTTAACAAGCTTCCCCAAGATTGAAATCGTGAACAAAGTCTCATTGACTAATTAGGCCTATTTGTTTGGTATGTTACATTCCGGTATAAGGTCAACATCACTCGATATTATGGCTATTGAAGTGTTATATGTCACAGAAATAACTGAGTTTCCTTGTCAATTGCATCATAATGAACTCTCATATCAGATCATTAACAATGTCCATTTCTGAGCTTTTGTCATTTATAGTTTTTCTTATTCTCTTGCAAAATGAGTTTCATCTTAGGGGCACCTGGGTGGCTCAGGCGGTTAAGTGACTGCCTTCAGCTCAGGTCATGATCCTGGAATCCCGGGAAGAGTCCCATTTGAGCTCCCTGCTCGGCGGGGAGTCTGCTTCTCCCTCTGACACTCCCCCCTCCCATGCTCTCTCTCTCTCTCTCAAATAAATAAAATAAAATCTTTTAAAAAAATGAGTTTCATCTTCAAGGAGATTCATAAAAAGGACTTTTAGGACAAATACAGGAATTTAATATCTTTAAGATCAAAACTGAAATGGGTAAGAATTTCCAGAACTAACTAAAAAGCTGCATTCAAATTAAACAAGAATTAGTACCATGGTACTAAATGAACTAAAATGATGATTATAGTTTTGTGACACTTGTTTGAAACATTGCTGGTTCTCTAATGTTCACTCTTCCAGATTAAGGAAACTTTCTCTTAAGATACCTATGACTTACAGAAATGTAATAAAAGTATTCATTTGTGAACAAATTCATGCATTTAACTTTTCTCCCTACCTGAACCCTCTGAAATTAAAAAGGTCTCAGTAAGTATTCTTTCTTCCATGGCAATCATAGTTATTGGCATAAGTTTAATAAGAATCTGTTCTCCTTTTAACAGGACACCATTGGAAACATTGGTTATTTTACCAAGGCTTTGACTGGAATGTCATATTTGAGAGAGACATGCATAGACTC